TCCCCCCCCTGCCCCCAGAGAGTCCACCACGGCCAATGGGCTGGAGTCCATTACAAGAACAACTCAGTTTGAGAGAGTGAGTGTGTGTGTGTGTGTGTGATTGTGTGTGTGTGTGTGTGTGTGTCAACCCCACCTTCTTGTCAGACAGTCCTGTGACCTGGTCCACAAACTCCTCCTGGATCATGAAGGCGGCCAGGTTGGCGGTGTAGGAGGCGAGGAAGATGACGGCGAAGAAGGCCCAGACCGACACGATGAACTTACTGGTGGTTCCCTTTGGGTTCTGGACCGGGACCGAGTTGTTAAAGACCAGCCCCCACAGCAGCCAGATGGCCTTACCGATGGTGAACGACGGACCGTGGGGGTCTGAGAGGGAGGGGCCCTCTGTTCAATTCCTGCGAGTGACTCAGCACGCTGTTTAACTAAACAGGCTCAGGTTTCATAGTGGTTAAACTGAACCTGGAAGAGCAGAATATTTCATCACATTACATCACATGTTGTTCTGCTTATTCGTTTCCTCGTTTTGCTACTCCCTTTGAGGTTCTCTGGCGCCCCCTGGGGGTCAGATGTCTCAAAATCATTCGTGCATTTGGCCGGCCGGGGACTCTCTGGGGTAAGGATTGTCCAAATCCGCTCACGTTAAGTGTTGATCAAACCCCTAAAATTTTACAATATTTACAGCGCCCTCTGCTCCTCAGAGCAGGGAAATGCAGAGGACTAATTATGTTGTGTGTGTTTGTAGATTGACTAATTGTTATATTTTTTATTATTGTTTTTAATCTATTACTCCCATCTTTATTCTTCACTTTGAGATTTTACTATTTGGATTTTTTTCCCTCCCGTCGTCCATGGTGATACTCGAAGAGTACTTCAACACAGTACTTCTACACAGTACTTCAACACAGAGTACTACTACAGTAGTACTACTACAGTAGTACTACTACAGTAGTACTCAGAGCAGCCTGGACTCTGGTGGAGGAACACAGTGACCATCTTCTCTGTTCTGTCAGTGGACGAGCTCCAGATTCTGATCAGTGTTGGTGACACCTGGTGTGTGTGTGTGTGTGTGTGTGCGTGTGTGTGTGCGTACCTTTGCCTTGGGCCAAGTTGCGGTTGAAGCCCAGTGGACTGACAAACTCAAAGAGGAAGACGGCGATGGCGGTGACGATGAGCAGCATCACAAACATCATCACCCAAACTGATGCACTGAATGGCTCTGAGACACAGAGAGGGCAGAACATAAAAAGACACAGATTAAGTATGAACTCCTGCAGCGTCTCAGTTTTATACCTCATACATCAGGCAGGACTGAATGGAACCAATAAATCAATCACCTATAGGCCCACACACACATCTGTGGGGGGGCCTGCCC